AATATGGCTGGAACTTGCTACAGCTCGGTAGACTCCCTTCTCGGCCTCGAGCGCGCGTGTGGAGTGGCTTGGCTTAGCTCTCGGTTTTTCCTTCAATCCCTTCAATATGTGCGAGTATTCTAAGTGTCAAGAGCTCAAAAATGGCTGAAGAGTGAGCCTTAAATAGAGCAAAGGGGCGGAGGTTGCTAGGTATGGTCAAAGAAGACCATTTAAGTTGGAAAATGCACTCTCCATGCATGTGGTCTTGGGGCTGAGGTCTTGCACGTTTTTCTTGGGTGGAATGGCAGGTTTTTCAGAGCATCTTGGTCAAATGGAGCAGGTCTGGTCGCAGATTCAAGGCACTAGCACTATAGGGGACAAAGTCTTACACAAAGGTATTAAAATAATGGTTTGCCCACACTTCACTTTGAGCTAGTGCTAAGCTGACTTCCTTAATACTTTGTTAGGGCCATATTAGCTCAACATAGTCCTCATTAAGTCCCCTAAACATGCAAGTCTTAGGTCATGGAGGATTTAGGCCGGAAATTCCAGAAATGGGCTCAAGAAGATGGGCTGTCGCGCTGCCAGCGCTGGGCACTGGGCTTGGGCGCGAGGGGCCTGCTGGCTGGGCGCGGGGCTACGCGGGCTGCGTGGGCTGCGCGTGGGGTTTGACTTGGGCTGAGGATATGGGCTGAAATGAGACTTGGTTGAGTTCCTCAACACTTAGAAAAATTTAGCAAATGATACTAAGGCTTAGCTAAGGCCTTGGGCTCGGTGGACTCGCCCTTGGGCGCGAGATAGGCGCGAGTGGCTCGTGTGGGTTAGGGCTCGATTTAAAAATCCAAGACTTGAACTTTGGTATTCCCACACACTTAGAAATTATTCTAAGTATAAAAATACCAAGACTTGGCTATGTTCGGAAATGACTAGCGAAATGACTCGGAACCAACTAGGGTTCGAAGTCGATAATTTCTCGAACCGAATAGCTATAACTTAACAACCCAAATTAATGGATTAATCTTAACTTAAACTTGATATAGAAATATTCCAAGGAATAATCTATTATATTTGAGCATTTAACATATATAATATAACTCGAAATTTCTGAAAATTACGGATATCACTTATAGTCGAGCAGTGAAACCGTTCTTATTCTTATTACTGATTTGGGGCGTTACAGCCTACCCACCGAGCGATCGACAAATCGTGTGTGCTTTTTAATTTCTTGCACTTTTGGTTCAATTTGCGTGCTATTAGCATAAATTCAACACCTAAATCATCCACAATACATTCGTAGTTCCTTAACTAAGATAGGTGGTCATCGATTATCAATAAGTTAGACAGACTTAACGGTAAGACATTCTTATTTTACTATTAATAATTTTTAAACTGAAAAGTCATAAAAAAAACTGTAAACAAAAGTATGAGGTTTTACAATATAAACATACGTTTTTGTTAAGAAAATATGAAGAGTCGAGGAGACAGTCTCGTTCAAGAATTGGTTATAATTAGATTTTTCGAACCTATCTATCTAGACATGACCAAGTGCCTGGCTTGACGGGTCGCCGTGCATCAAAACTTGGGCCCAGAACTGGCCTGACTCATACGTAAGGGTCGGTTCACCGAACCGGCCTGAATCGACGGTTCAGTTTTTTTTCATAAAAAAAATAAAAAATAAAGTCAACCCGTTTTTCGACTCAGAACTGACTCGGAACCGGCGAGTTGGGAAAAAAAACCCAAGACTTGAAATCAACCCGGTATTACCGCAGGTCCGATTCAAGGACCCATACATACAGGTCGGTTCTGAGCGGGTCCGGTCTGGTTCAGGGCCGGGTTACGGGTCCGGGTCGACCCGGGCCACACCTATATCTATTTGGCCCTTTTGTAAATATGTACTAATTTATAATATTTAATTTAATAATTTTGTACTTTTTGTAGATTCAAACTTATGGGTCATTTGCATATGTACCGTGATTGAACATAAAAATTTCCAAGTTTACATAATTTTAAAATTATTTGCGCATGTACAAAATTAAAGAAAAATAATTAGGCAGTTGCTAGATACTAAAACACTGATATATAATTTCCTACTAAATCCCGTAACTGAAAGGTTGCACCATAATAATAAAATACCATAATTGAATGGATTTACATTAACAACAAAATATCATCCCTAAAAATGCTCTCTCTCTCATATCTTCTCTCTCTCTCTCTCATTCCCGTAACTTAATCTTAATCTGGTATATATGTTAGGAGAAAAAAGACCAAACATTGATTATATACTCAACATAATCATATATATATACATATACATATACGTGATTATGTCTACGAAAACATATACTGAAAATATACTACCTATATATATAACATATACAATATATAAACATCACATATACAATCTTGAAAACAAGCCCCATATTATGTAAGTATATCATTTGTGCACATATACATAACATAATCGTGTTATATACAATCCGTTCATTGCTCTCTCATCCCCCAGTCGTCCTCTTTCACTTCTTCTTTTTTACCTTTCTTCGCCGACGGAGTCCAGTCGGCCCTTGCCGTGGGGCCCATCTCCTCCTCCTCCTCCTTTGTCATGATTTTCCTCTTCTTCACAGCCTCGGGCGTTTTGACCTCGCTCAGCCTCTTCGTCTTCTTATTCTTCGCCTTCTCCACAAAACCAATCTTGTACGAGATCTTGACCAATCGTTTAGCTTTTCCCACACGCTCCGTTTCCCTTCTCTTCGGCATTGAATGGTTGAACAATTTAGAGAATTTTGGTTTACAGTTGTTCAAGTATGAATTAATAAAGACGAATGAAAGTCAATGAAAGGAATGATTAAAGCTAATTAAGATATACACATCCCCTTGAAACACGCAACTGCCATAAATTTTTATTTCACTAAAATATATCATATTAAAACTGCCCATGTGTCTATTTTAATTGTCTCCGGCTTTTTACAAATAAGTAGTCTAACTTCGTAATTGTATAATAAAAATTTATTGGCACCGTATGGGGAGTATATTTCTCCAAACTTATATATTCATTCAATTTGCGTTTAATTTGAAGCTAGGTGGGTTTTAGGCCCCAAACTAGCCCAACCCGCTTCACATCGTTGTATCTTTCTCACGTCCTTATTATAAGTTACCACCACATTACATCTCCGATTCCCTCTAGGTTTTTTTGCTTTTCCCCCATTTTTACAGTCTGATAACCTAATTCGTTCGAAGATGAAGGTGGTTACCGATTGTTTCTGGGACGGGAAGGTTTTAACTCCCGGATTCAGATTTCATCCGACGGACGAGGAGCTCGTGCTTTACTATCTAAAGAAAAAGATCTGCTCCAAACGACACCGTTTGGATGTGATCGGCGATCTGGACGTTTACAAATGTGACCCGGAGGAATTGCCTGGTAGGGTTTGGACCCAATTTTGTTTCCTGTTATTGGGATTTTTTTGAGACGTTTTTAATTTGTGGGGGCTTGTTTGATCATGTGCTTCTTTTGAATATGGGTTCTGCATTGGGTTTTTTCGTCTGATTTATGATTCGATTAATTTTTTGTATTTGAATTATCCTGTTTGCTTTGTTTTCATATTGTTTTTATGGGTTTGTGAGTTAGTTGGTGGGTAAAGTCTGTTTTTGATAGATTACATCTATATTTTCTTGGCTAGTCTTGATTATGGGTAAAGTTAAAAGCTTGGTTTTATTAGTTGATTTATTTTTCTGCTTTTCATGCAGGATTATTACTTGTCTAACTCTTACGTTTTTAGATTCACAAATTATTGGATGAGGCTGGTCATACTATTTAAACAATAATGCATACTCATACTACCAAATGTGATATTTTCGTTCATAAATTATTGGATGAGGCTGGTCATACTATTTAAACAATAACGCATACTCATACTACCAAATGTGATATTTTCGTTCATGTTTTTTAAAAAGTATGACATTGTCTAATGAAAGTACTGATTTTTGTAAAAAGAGTATGTTTGTCTAATGGCTATGCAGGATTAGCGCAAGACCAACCATTCTGGAGTTAAATTGAAAAATCATATTGCTGCCTTGGATTGCTTGGATACATTAAGCTGATTTTATAGCTATATGTCTGACTCATATAGTAATTTGCATTATTTTTTCGTGTAAAAAGTGCATAACTAGTTGGATCTATGTTGATACCTGAATCATATTTGCTTGATTACTTTGCTCCTTTTATGCGATAGTATTTCCGTAACCTTCTTTTCCTGATAACTGATATTTTTGAATAGCCAAAATACCTTATGATAATGATAATAGGGATGGTCATGTATACTGCAGTATCTTCCCAATATTTGAAGTCCTTAATTTGTTATTTCTACAGATTTTTTTGTTTGAGTGACAATGATTATGTCATTTTACTTGCTCAAGTCATCATTTGTTGACCACTTACTATTCTAAAAAAAAAATGCAGGGATGTCAAAACTGAAAACAGGTGACAGACAATGGTACTTCTTTAGTCCCAGGGATAGAAAATACCCGAATCGAGCAAGGTCCAACCGAGCAACAAAACACGGGTACTGGAAAGCAACTGGAAAGGACCGAATCATCACGTGCAGTTCTCGTGCAGTTGGATTAAAGAAGACCTTAGTTTTCTACAGAGGCCGTGCACCAAACGGGGACCGCACAGACTGGGTCATGCATGAATATACTATGGATGAAGACGAGCTGAAAAGGTGCAAAACTGTCAAGGAATACTATGCACTGTACAAGGTCTATAAGAAGAGTGGCCCAGGTCCTAAAGTTGGGGAGGAATATGGTGCGCCCTTTAATGAAGAGGAATGGGAAGATGATGGGGACGAAACTCAGTGCATTGTTGAGAAAGAGAATCCTTTAATGAATGCTACTGCTAATGAGGCCGTCCTTGTTGATAATAGCGGCAGAGTCAATTGTCATCTTGTGTCCTCATTGGAGGATGATCTTGAGGAAATGATGAAAAGGATGGCGGACGAGTTTATCCCTCTTCAGACCCTAGTTGCTGATGAAAACGGGTATAATTTGGGACAGTTCACGGGTGAGGTCGAGACTGTTAGTAACTCAGTTGACCATTCTTGTAGAGATTTTCCTTTACCCGTGATGCAGCCTTCTTCACAGCCTTCATGGCAGCAGCAGCTGAATGGGGCAGCAGCTGCAGCAGCTAATTTTGATCTTACAGAGTCGGGAATTGGTGGATTATTATCCTTCAAGGAGCCACCCGAGATCTTATCAAACCCGGTTTTGATAGGTACACGCGAAATTGAAGAGGATTTCAATGAAGATTTTTTTGAAATGGATGATCTGAGTGACCCAGTTCTGACCTCACAAGGTACTGATGATCTTTTGTACAATGATCCTCAGAAGCTGTTGCTTGATGGGTTTGACTTTTATGAGGATGCCCTTTGTGACCTGGGCCCACTCAACTCGAGGGAGGTTTCTCGACCCCAGATGAGTAGTTTTGTTGACAATGGAAGTCAGAACGTGATCTCGAGGTCGCCGTTGAACATTCTCGAGAACCCAAGAGCGAGTTACCTGATGGAGCAAGAATTTCATGACCTGGAAGGGGTCGCTTATCAAATGTGGACAGATAAGCAAAGTTGCAGTTTCTTAAGCGGTGCTGAGGCAAATGAGGGACTCTTTCCTTCCCAATCTTCAGGTATTGAATTTTGTGGAACTCCCAATTCGATGACTTTTTTAAGCTCTGCTATGAGTGTAGTTTGATTTCTTTACACTGTCATAACTTGCTCGGCATTTATCCTCTTCCCTGAAGTAACTTTTTAAATTTGCATGAATAGTCATTTTGACTGTGTTATTGTTAAATGTGTTAAGAAATGACTTGCACGTCTGTTATTGGTATTATTAGCTGACTATGTTATCTTTGAGGTGGTGAAAACTCTCTAGCCGAAGTGGGAATGGGGGAGTTTGAGCCAAGAGCTTGTGTTCTGCCACTGAAATTCTTGTTAAGACTGTTTTTTACAACTGTTCTTTATTTTCTTAGGTCTATTGCATCAAAACCAAGATAACGGTCTCGAAAATCAATTGAGTGGAGCAAATGAAAATGGGAGCCGGAAAGAGGATGATGGTGAAGACTCATGGTTCTCGTCTGCTGTGTGGTCCTTTTTGGACACTATACCAACAACTCCTGCTTCAGCTTCCGAGAATGCATTGGTAAATAGGGCGTTTGAGCGAATGTCGAACTTCGGTAAGGTAAGAATAAATGGCAGAAACATGAATGTTGCTGCAGGCAATGCCTTGGCAACTACCAGAAGGTTGGCCAAGTTTAGAGTCAGTTTTATCTGTTTGTCTTTAATTGGAGTGTTGTGCGCTATATTATGGGCGCTTGTTGGAAACAATGTGAAATTGGCGGTTTCATATTATTAAATATTAATATGAAGTATTTGACTAGTATGTAGATGGGAGTTTTGATGTGGTGCTTGCTGAGAATTTTACGGGCAAGTCTTCTTAACAGTTAGAAAAGTCTTTCTAAATGTATGTGTATATATGTATGTATATATGAGTGAGTGCACTCTGCAGGTAGTGTGCACTAGGGTAAATAAGTCAAATATTTTCTTGTCAATTCGCTATTCGTATTCGGCATTCATGATTCATATTCATAAAAAAATGAATTCGAATAAAAATAGTTTTGGTATTCGAAATTTATACGATTCTGAATCCTAATATGCATATATTTGTTCCGAAGTTATCGAGTTTTTGATTTGTTAATGATAATTATGTTCAATTTAATATATTATATAGAATATAATTTATTATTTATGCAATATATATTAAATTTGAAGATAAAGTGAAAAAATATATATCAAGTATAATTAGAAAGATAGTCTGTATATATTTATAGTTAAAAATATATATTATATTAAAAAAGATATTTACAAAAATGTATAAATAATTTCTAAAAACAAATTTTGAATCGAATAATATATTCGATTATCTTAATCGAATCAAATATGAATTACAAATTAAATTTGCTATTTAATTGAATAGGAATAGTCTAATATTCTTACGAATTTGAATCAAATGGTGGAGTATTCGTTTCAATGTAATTCGTTTACAAGTATTATTGCCTTTTATGTGCTTGATTTTCGTGTTCTCTTCATCTGAAGAGTGACGGGCAAATCGGCTTGAAGAGACGGGCAAACTCTAATATTTTATTCAATCGCTCACCCAGATGATCTAGCCCTAATATGTTATACATCATGAACCATTTAACTATTATTAAGATTACAACAAATTAGGAATTTTTGTTATAAGCAATAACAATAGGTATCATGTTGATCACATATACAAAATCAAATAAGAGACATAATAAAACAAATGCTTTGGAGCTCACCAAAAATTCTATAGAGTCATCGGATGGTTTTCTTATGGAGTCATCCACCACTTAATGTATTGACACCTGCCCAATTTGTATTTATTGAAGGACACGTGTCAATACACTATTGGTGAATAAGTGTGGATGACTCCATAAGTCGAGCCATCCAATGACTCCATAACAAAACTATGGAACTCACACATTTTGAAAAATCGAATAAGAGCCATAATAAAACAATGCATTAGATAATTTTAAGATTAAAAACAATGCATGTGATGCTTCACTATTAATAGTAACAAAGTTGCCTTATCCTAGCATCATTTTGTTGGAGAAAATTTGAAGGCAACATAGATGAATATTGTTACACCCCTAAGTGTGGTGTCGGCTAGTCGCGCGGCCCATTAGCGCATCCAGGTACGACGAGGCGTGGTATTGAGGGATTATGTGCCGAGTAGGGGAGGAATGAATAAACGACTACGAGGTTCGGGGCTATCTTAGAGGGGATGCTAAGTTGCAGGGAGTTGGCGCGTTCTTAGGCTGAATATGGGATTAAGTCGAATCTTCATGGGGCGACGGAGACTTGTGTGCAAGACTCAGCTATCAATGTCTGGTTAGAGTCGACACTCTCATTTCCCATTATTAGAGAATGTAATGTTTTCAAAACGGTGTTAGGCCGGATCATGTGAGATACACGTGTGGATGGGTCGAGACCTAACGTGGGGTCTTGACGTACGTCGAGTCAATTCGGATCGTGGGTGTCTCGTCGGAAAATACTCGATAATAGGGTCGGTAAAAGTCGAGGGCTCAGTCGGACGAGGGTTGTCGGAGGCTATTACATTGCAGGGCATGCGGGCTTGACTCGGAGACGCTACGGTGCGAGGCAATGCAATGCCTTGCACGCTTGTCGGGTAAGGCGCGGGCAGGGTGACTCCTATGCACACCGATGGGCTCAAAAGCATGGGCGGTTGGCAGCTGTATGTTGCTACTTGCTAGGGATGGGTTGGCGTCGAGAAGACGTGGGCATGTCATCGTTGCGCAGTTAGTGCAAAATTGTCATGCGATTTCCAGACAGTTACCTAGCAGCTAGGGTTAAAGGTTGAGTTGCCAAGGCCTTTAAATAGGTGAGGCGAACATTCGCGTGCAGAAGCATGCAAGGCTGAAAGGCTGAACTCGGCCAGAGAAAGAACGAGCGATCCACGAGACAACTGAGAGCACCGGAGTGAGCCAAGAGCTCCGGGCCCGAACTCCCAAGGAGGGAACTCAGTTTAGCAAGCAAACTCGAAAGAGTGATTGAACTCGAAAGAGTTAGCGAGAGCACCAAACAGGAGGGCAACGAGAGAGCAAGCAAGGGAGAGAGCGAGCAAGGTCGTCCTAGTACGTGTATTATAGTGAGGCATGTGTTGGCATACGTGAAGTGTTTGTTGCGTGAGTAAGGCCAATTTCTATAAGGTCGGTTCTAGATTTGGCGAACGTTAGATAGGAGTGTAAAGCTGGAGGCGTCGTCCCTTGATACGTAAATAAGGCCAAGGCGTACTAGAGTGTGCATGCATGCACAAGATAGCTTGAATAGGGTGTTGTATCGCGTGTGTGATAGCCATGTATTTTTGCACTCTATTTTTGAGAAAAAAATAAAGAAAAAAAGGCAAACTATAAGATCAATAAAATTTTGCTAAGAATAAAGGAAACGACCTAGAAAACCTCGAGCTCGATATTTTGCATAATACTCATAAAATTCAATTAAAGAAAGAAAGAAAAAAAATAACAATCTCACACATTCACAAGGATTCAAAAGCCTAACAAGAAAAATATGAGATAAGTTGGCTAACTATACAACCTTTCTATAATTTCTATTATTATATATATAAAATAGAAAAGATCTTAAACTACAAAAACAATTACATAAGTACAAATACACATTATAATATAAAGAAAGAAAAAATATATGACAAAAATTCATCAAGGACACAGGAAAAAAGTACATGTATTATGTATAGTTTTCTTATATCAATTGTTTTACCATACAACTCTTAATCTAATAAAAAAATATTCTGTTTAATTGAACAAAAGAAATATGACATGTTGGTACTGATGAAATTGAAAATCAATCTAGATAATGATTATGTAGTGTTGATAATGGTTTGAGAACTAAATTCATGTACACAAATTAAAATTAGGGTAAATTGCTAAATAAACATTGATCTTTTTATATTTTGCAATTTTATACCAATCTTTAGATAACTGCAATATAATCTCGACCTTAATTAACTTACTTTAGCAAAACAAACCTAAAATCGATCGGAACTTAAAAAAACGTCAGCTTGTCCGACTGCTTATATCCGTGTGGAAATTTAAGTTTGCTGTGGATATACATAAAAAAGGTGGAAATTTCAGTTATATATTCATCCCGTCACTATACAATTCAATTCTTAAATTGCCAATATTCCAATTCCTAAATTCTCAAATTTTCGCTTCGAAAAATTTTGATTTTTTGTAGACTTTTGCTCTCGTGATTTGTGTCAAGATGTCGTCTTCACATCTCGCGCAAGCCAGAATTCTGAAAGCTTTCCTACGAAGAAGGTCTACCGCCGTGGCAAGGAAGCTGATGTCTTGACCTCCATGACTTATGGGAATCCATGTAGGAGGTTCTACAGGTGTTAGATTAGAAAGGTGAGCTCGTAATTTAACTTCCCGCTAATTTCTTCAAAAAAACTCCAATTTCTATAAACCATAGTTTTTAAAATTTTCAATTTTGAGCAAGTGGATGACTGCGGTTTCTTCGCGTGGATTGGTCTCGCACTTCCCGATTTATAAAAATCCCATTTTTCTGCGATTGAAATATCAGAATGAGTCTTTGGAAGAGCAACTGAGACGTATGATTGCGTTGGAGAAAATGTACAGTGAAAGGGCAATGGAAAAAGACGAATTCTTGGACCAGGCCAGTGAGTTTGAACACAAATTGAATGATCTTGTGGACGAAGTTTGGAAGAATAAAGAAGTCGTGTTGGTTTTGGAAAATACATTACCCCTCATGCATAAACTGGAAAGGAAGTTGAATGTTGTTATATTTTTTCTTCTTTGTGGTTGTACTGCTTTTTGTTCTTAGTTTGCTTGGAAAGCATGGTCATGTCGAGGGGCCAAAAATGTTGATTTGAATGCTTTCTTTTGGTGTTTTATCTCCTTTAGTTGATGTATTTAACCTATGAATGAATGGAATCTATGTTTGTCTCAGTTTGTGGTTGTACTGTTTTTCTTGTTGTCCTTTTTTTTTGTTTATTTTGCCATTCATGAGATACAACTATTTTAAGCAAACTAAGATCATTTCAATGTAGTTAAATGAGATCTACTATGTTCAAGCATCTTGAGTGCCTAAAATATAATTCAACACCCAATATATATAACAAGTCTAAGAGCATTGCAAAAGCTTCCAAGCTTTAATTTGTTAAGAACATAACAACTCTAAGTTCCTTTTGTTTACCATTAGAACAAGAGACATACTGTAAGCTTTTATTTACATTAAGGCATATGTCAAACACAAGACAAATTGGTCACATCACAACAATATAACAAAAGACAGATAGATCATTCCAAGTAGAAAAAAAATATAACACCCAATACTAAGACTACTGTTTCAATAAGCTTTGTTCAAAACATACGAAAAGATACAAACCACTGTCCTCTCCATCAATACCAAAAGATTCAAAGCATTGTTCAGAACATAACAAAATATACTTCGACAACATAACAAACACAAAGTTCTCCATCAATATCCTAATCAACACTAACATCACAATCACTGTCTTCTTCCAAAACATACAAGCCATAACTGCCAATCACTATCTCCTTTCAAAACATCACTACTAGTCATCCCTTGCGAGAAACACTTTCTTGAGTACCATAACCATGCCTAGTTCCACTCTTTCCCGCATCTGCATTTTCCTCTTGCCTCTGGAGTTGCTAGGAGCATAACCTCTCTCAGAAATGACATGAACCCTTCTTTCTGATTACAACTACATTTATGACATCTCAAAAAATAATTCAGAATTAAGAAAGGCTGATTTCAATATACATGATATTGGAAAAATGACAAATATAGAAAATAAATCAATTAAGGAAACAAACATGCCCTCATGTACATTGCCAGTCTCCTCAGACTGAAGGATATAATACCCCTTTCTTGCCTAAAACCAAGTATAACAAGATATCATTAAAAAGGCAACATAATACACCCTCAACATATCAATAAAACTTCACTAAAACAAAATTGTATTACCAGAGCTCTTTCCTTTTGAGTAAATATGAATCTTGGCTT